ATTTTTACTAATACCTGTCTTATAGCTTCATGACTTTGAGTTCATATTATTTTCATGCTTCAATTAGAAAGAAGGAGATAGCCAGACTATCCAGGAAGGTAATGGAAAAGTCTTGTAGTGGGGCTTAGTGGTGGAATTTATAGTTAAATGAAACTTTCAAATATACTATAAAACTTCTCCTTCCTTTACGTAGTTTTACTTGAGGTCTCATAAGCAGTAATATGAAGAAATGCAAAACTTAATCAGCTAAAAAATATAGCAAATCCCACATATCACTTTATGCAATGCCAAGAGAGTAGAAATATATTTTCCCAACCAGAGGAAATTAACTAGGCAACAGTCCTATATCTATAATTTAAAGCAGTAAAATATGTATGGCAGAAACTAAAGCCACCTTAAAAGAATTCAGGGTAGTAGTGTATCACAAATTAATGAAATGGAGACATTTTTAGAGCATGCAGCACTGACGATATTAAAGGGGGGGAGAATATTTCACCACATAGATCAGTGTGATAAATACTTTTAAAATCAAGCTTTTTTCCCTGTTTAAAAGTGTAAGACCTTGGATATTAGGAGGAAGCACACACAAAGTCATTAACATTTCTTATCAAATCTCAATGCTGCTCCACAGAGATTGGGAATATTTTGCTCTGCCCCTGCATGTAAACCTCTAATGTGGTAAGAGGAAAATCTGAGTAAATCAAAAGGCAGGAATTATGGAACTAGCTCTTACTTTATTTCACCTAAAACAGAGCTGAAAGAAACTTAAAATACTTTATATTTCATGATGCCGCCAAGCTGGGCACTATGGAATATTCAACTACCCCAGGTTTTTTAAATGCAGTCAATTTACTGCTGCCAAATGTAGTAGGTTTATATACATCTGGGAAACATGCACCTACGGTGCTGATGAATTTCTCCTGACATTGCACTGATTTCAAGAGAATGTAATTTTAAATTGGCAGTAGAGAGACTGGTAGAGAAGGATAAAGCCCTGAGGACGGCTGAATCAAAGAGAATTTCGAAAGAATTTTCCTGATGGTTCTTGGATAATATCACGTTAGCTATTTTCAAAGCCAATAGTTTCCAACACGCTTCCATTTATGGTATCAATAATTAAAAAATACTTCAGTGAGAGATGAACTTACCTTACTGAGAAAAGAAATTGGAAAGCTGTATTATTATCGTAAACACGGGAGATGCAAAAAGCTTTGTCTCCATGGAAAAGCTATGGAAACAGGGATATCTTATTTGCAACTATTGAGTGGTTACTGCAAAATGTGATGTGATTGTATGTGCATGTTCAAAGTGTTACTAGAACATGATCACGTTGAATTTAAGGGCAGATCCTCAGCTCCTTTGTGCAGCAAGGCCAAATTAAATGACTCTAAGATTTGGACTCCTAAAACCCAAAGTCAACTAGAAGTGTTAAGGAAAAGTTTTGGATCAAATTCAGAGGTAAAACTAAGTTTAAAGAAAATTGAAATTACCAAAACATAAATCTTATTATGTCCCTGCCAGCACGTCCCTGCCAGCCACTAATGAATTTTTCACATCTTCCCCCCACCCCACTGTGTACTTCAGCTGACTCCAGCACCCTGAACTGTACAGCACATTACAGTCTAATAGTAACTCACATGTCAGGGGGCAAGAAGAAAAGAGCGTGGCGAGAGCATTGATAAATTTAACTTAACATTCCTCCAGCTACTCAGCAGTAAGGCAGTGAACTCCTCTCCACATTTTACATGGGTGTCAGTTACTTCAAAGGAATATATTTGATCACGAGGGAGTCTGGCTTGCTGCCAGCTTATGCATCATTTGTGTCTGGCTGTTTCTGGAGACCCACAGAAAAGCAAAGACTTCCTCCAGTTTGGGGCACATTGTGGAGCTTTCCATAGCTGTTTTCTTAGGGGTTCTGGAACAGGTCAGCTCTGTATGTTGCATGCAAAATATCTAGTTGGAACTGCAACTCTCAGCCTTTGCGTTTCTTCCTTTTTCTTTTTTTTTCCATTTTTTTCCAGAGTGCCCTCCGTCCAGGTTACAGATTAATGATCTCTACCTGTTCAGTTTAACATACAAATGTGCTTTTAAGTCAAGCCCCTGTGCGGCCAGGCATGGCAGAGCCGTGCGCACACTGCCGGTGTTGGGCAGCCACGCGGCGCAAGCCAAGAGGCAGTGGCAGGTCGTCCCCGCAGCACGGGCTCGGCACGGCGCAGGCAGTCGGGGATGCAGGGCACGAGGAACGGGCACGCCTTCCCACCCAGCAGCGTCTCCTGGGGAATCGTGCAACAGCCACGGCCATGGGGAACAGCGCAACTACCGTGAGGTAACGTTGAGGTTTCTGTGATCCTGCAATCTCTCTTTTGAGTGTTTTGGCACCTGTGGTGCCAAAAACTTAAGGGGGTTTCTCAACAGCCCTTAATTGACATTAAAGGCATTGTTTGACCTTGCAATTAATCTCATTAATTGGCTGACCAATTTTTGGAAATCTTTTTAGTGGCACATAGAGAAGAGCTGTCGTAATACCTGCAAGGGATCACCAAGCGATTCGTGACTAAATGTACAAAAACTGGTTTGAGAATTTCATACACACACAAAAGAAAGATGATATTCGTTATGACAGAAGTGCAAATCGTAGAGGTCACCTTTGGTTTTGAAGTCCTTTGTCTATTACCACAATTAAGCAATAGGGCTTTTGTGGCTGAAAGTCCTTGTGAGACACGGAGGGCTTTCATACTATAAATAAGGATGAGTGACCTCCTCCACAAACGAAGGCTGCCTGCCTGCGGCAAGGTAGAGAGCAGGAACAAGTCCCAAAGGATTAACAGCTGCAACTAAATAGCCAAGTCCCTAATTTGAATCAGTAAATTAAGGGATGACAGTGATTATGGCTGATCTCAGACGTCATAAATGGTATCATGACATTGTAAAAGCAGACTGTTGATGTCAGATCTTAGAGCTAGAACTTAAAGAATTAAATATTTTAAAGTTGCAGTCTCCAAAGATAGATAAAAGCCTCAACACTATGATTTATTTTATGTTATTTTTGTATTTGTAGGACCCAAACTAGACCCTTTAATCCACAGGTTGACATTTTCCAATCCTACTAGGAATTAAGTGCCTAACTTTTTCAGCTTCTTTGAAAAATCTCAGCTTTAGGCTGTCAGGTAAGTTTGGCCTGATCCAGCATCAGGCTTCATTTGAAAATGCCTCTACTGAAAACAAAACTGTAGGCACTCAAGTATATAATCATGGCACAAATATTATTTTTTTTTTCCTACATAGTCAATTGTTGTAGATTTCTGGCTAAATATCAAAGGGTAATACTTGTATTTCAGAAAAAATGCATGTTACGGAAAGCTTTTTACCCCCTTTTAGTGTAGTATGTCTACCTACACAGTTATTGAAAGCTATTTTGATCCTTTCAACTAATTGCTGTGTTGATTTAGTAGATTGCTGTATTAAACTGAGATCTGAAGCAATAGCTATTTACTGTGATCACGTCTATGCACAAACTCAACTCAGTCAACCCTTTCACAGTTCCACTGAATACTGTATCTGAAATTATGCAGAAGGTATCATAAATTCATTTTACAGAAAAGTCTCATATTATTTTGGTCCCAACCCTCTTTTTCTCTTATTAGAAAAAAGTATCTGTGGACTTTGGTGCCCTTATCCAAGATCTGAGTGTTTATTATGATTAAGACCTTCAGAGATCTTTTTCTTTTTCCTCTAGAAATAAGGAATGCTGAAGATACAAAAAATGAAAAATGTGCCATGTTTGTCCTTGAAGTTACAGTCAGAATAGTGACAATGGCTGTATCACACTGTATTGTTGCTTTTATCAGCAAGTGCCCTGAGCATACATTAACATAATTGCAAACTGCATGAAAAGTGAACATGCAAAAATGTGATGCAATTGCCAATAGCCTCAAACATCTGTCCCAACAAAGTGATCCTCCTCCTTATTTTAATTCTTATTATTTTAACAAGGTTAGTGAAGGGGAAACCATGTCACAGATGATATCTACATTTAGAGTGTCAGAACAATTATTAATGCAAAATTGTTATCCAAGCAAATGTGTGTCACATTTTGTTCACTTCCCATAACACCTGTTCATTTCGCTAACACATTATTCCCAGTTAAAGCCAGAACTCATTAGTCCCAGTTAAAGCCAAACTGAAAGCTTAATATGTACATACATCTGAAAATGTGAAAAAGTTAACTAAAAGGTAGCACCATTCAAACGCGGTGTACATCTGAAACTGGTGGGCAGCAGACTACTGTAGCAGCTAATGGAAAGAAACTGAGCCAGAAAAATAGCAATAAATTAAAAGCCACCCAGCCTTAAGAGCTGAGATCAGAGACAAACACTATTCAAACTCCGAGCATTTAATTCACGGTGTTGAGACCTTCAAAACTCAGTATGCAAAGAGCCCAACACTTTCCTACCTTCCTAACATATAACACATTTTGGTTTATCTCTCAATAGGCAAATGACAAAAGCCATTATGAAGCAGATAGCTTAAAGCATTTTAATTTTACCTAAATATTTTCTTACCCACTTTGGGGTTCTCCAGACCTAAGCCTGGACATCCTGTCTCCCACCACATACACAGACGATCACCATCTCCTTACTCCCGAACCGCTCACGTTTGCCACCAAGGAAAGTCAAACTTGCATTTCTGTGATACTTGAACACACATTGTGGATTCGAGGGCATCTGCCCTGCAGATATACCGCTAACTGTAACCCCAGGAGGCTTAAAGAAATATCAGCACTCAAATTCATAGAGTAAAGGTCTGAAGAGGCAGCTCTGTGAACGGATAACTGCCCGGGGCTTTGCCAAGCACAATATAGCTGTCACTTGTTATTATGTGAAAGATTTTCTGGGGAACAGTGTTTTTCATTTTGCATGTCAGAAACAGGGGAAAAAACACATTTAGACAACCATCTCTTTAAGAAAAGAGAAGAGAACCATGCAGCAGAGCTCACTTACCAGGGCTGGTTATTGTCAGGAGGTCAAGCTGCCGTTTCTGCTGAAAAACAAATTATAAAAGGAATTGTTAAAAGGGGACTAATTTTAGTGGGTCAGCTTAGACCTGCAAAGTAAGTGTTCTGACATTTATAGCAGAATTAATTACAAGTTACATGGCTCACAGTAACTCTTTTGGATGGGATCCACATGTATTTTATGAGGAAGAAAAAAAACCCCTTGCTCAGTCCTTTTAATGTGTTTTTATTTACACTTATAAAGTGTTACTATTTCTTTTTTGGAATATATACTTGAAATGGATAGCTAGAAGCACAGATGGACTGATATATATATAAAAGTGATTTCTGATTCCACAGGGAAGAAGACAAGGAACCAAGACAAGAAACTCGAAGTTCTTTATTCATATCAATCACTGACTCATAGCCTGTATGTGATCAAACACAATTATATTGCCTTGGGGTGAACCTTTCAAAGACATGTAAGAGGATCTAGACAAACTCAAGATTGATAAAAGGAAATCTTCTTTTCATGCTGAGCACACTTAGCCCATGGATCTCATTGCCACCAGATAGCCCTCTCCCCAAAACCTTGCCAGACTTGATCATCACTGGATTTTTGTACAGAGAGCAAAATACAGGGAGTTCTTATGGCAAATAATCAAGCTTAAACAGAAGAGTGGTTTCTGGAAGGGCTGCAGATCTTCACAGGGCGAACCAACCTGTGCTAGGAGGAGGTTAGGAAAATTTTTTTCCTGGAACAAGCTATCCCACCAAAGGCTTGGTGACGGTGGGGTGCATGTGAGGTTCCCTTTCTCCTGTAACATGTAGGCAAGGCTGTTGCCTACTCCATGTTCCCAGTCTTAGGTGATCTCCCCACCACTGCCTTTATGTAGCCTGACACTGAAATCTATGTGCTTCTGGACCATTATCATGCTTTTCTACCTTTATGTGGGCTGAGAGCTTTTCATCAACAGCAGGGATTTCCCTGTCTCACAGACAGACTGTTACTGCTTCTTCTTCATAGCACTTTCTAACTACTGTCTTCTCCCTAACTTTGCCCAACATTAGTGTGTCTAGCTGGTATTGAAGATTATACTGTCCAGTTTAATTTCTCTCTCCTAATTTGCTCAATAATGTCTGTGTTACTTTCATTTATTGTCAGCCTTATTGATCTTTTTCTAATCTAATTCTCATCACTGCATTCACTGTATTCCCTGGGTGACAGCTGAAAGTCCTTGAGGAGGAAACATGGACTTGGTATTCCCTACCGTGAACGTTTTTCCTTGGAAATTATGACTGATGAAACTCCCTTGCAAACCCATAATTTCTGTATAAGTAAAGCTTCACTGGCTAAAGTATATGGACCCATAGTTGATCATCCATTGGATGTACCTGAGCTATATGTCCAACAGTGATTGTGGCCTGATGGGAAGCTGAGCGAGGTGTTGGACTGAAAAAACACATTTTCTGAAACCTTCCTGGCCTTCAGTACCTTAACTCTTGTACAACAGAAATCGTATTTGTGAGAAAATTCATTCCTGTTTGCTTTCATAGGTACTCCTTGTTCTCTTAACTCTGATAAATCATTCTGAGTATGACCTTAGCAGTGTGCTTGATCACATTTGCTTTATTAGAAAATACTAAGGCCAGACTATGGCAAGCCTTTTTCCAGGTGTGCCAAGGTAATGGTAAAAGGGAGCAGAAGACTCTGCTGCTGCCTTGTGTAACCCCACAAAAATCATTCAGAAATGCTGTCCCAGCTCTGTTGGGGTCTGATCACCCCACGCTCCTTTCCCAGGGAGCAATAAAGCAAACAGGCAATAGTGTAAGCAAAGGACCCACCTCCCCAGTGGGAGCCGTAAGACAAAACATCTCCTAATGAGCTAAATTTTATATAGAACCTGTGCCTTAATCCTGATTCATACGTACAAAGCTATGAAATGCCAGGGCTTAGCACCCACTGGGCCAAAAGCTTTGCTTTACGTTTCTCAGCACAACTGGAATTCCAAATGCTGTATATCTAATGAACAGCTACAGCAGAAAATATATATCCAAAGCCTATACTCTGTGAAAGCTTCTCTACTGGGAAAAAAGGTGGAATATAAATATCCTGCATCAAAGAAGGTTGCAAAATGTAGATATCTGGAATAGAGAGAAAGGCATGTATCCCAGCTGGCCCCCAATCCTTACTTGAGTCTATTAACTAGGGTAAAAATAAACATTAAATAAAAACCTAAATAGCTTAACTTGATACTGCAGGAAAACAAAAGCATATAGAATAGTCTAAACAAAATGGGAAATAAAATTAAATTATTACAAGTCAAATGTTCAGTTTGTAACTTTTTTCCTGTTTGGACCCTGCCTTCAGGCTGGCCTTGAAAAAAAACAAATTAGCACTAGATCTAAGAAATCTTTGGGTATGTGTTGAACTTTAAGCTCAAGTTATTTCTCTGACTTCGAGTGGAGCAGCACTGATCTTTTGCTTCTAACACCTAACTGCTGCAAGGGATTTGAAATGGCACCAGGTTCTTGGCACTGGCTCCACCCAAACGCTTTGGGCTGGAGCAGGGTGGTTACTGCTTGCCTGGTGCACTGAGAGAGAAAAAATTTCCCTGCTCTGACCTTCAGCAGACCTTGAAGAGGTTTCTCTAATTGAGCTCGGCAAGGGAAGCTTCTGCACACTCACTCAAGCCCTGGAGAGGAGGAAATTGCAAAGTGCATTTCAAAATCATGCATTTAAACATGCAAAAATGCACTAATTATGGATCCAATCACTTTCTGGAAATTCAAGCCTGCTCTCAGATCTCAGGGGCTAGCTCTCTGCCATTTCCAGGGCTCAGCTGGATGCAAGCAGTCTAGTAACTAGATGGATTTAAAAAAAAAACAAACATGCAGACACACTTGTGAGTAGCTATAAAAGCAGCAAAATTTGAATTTAAAGAGAGAGACATTACAACTATCACAAAGATTAATAAAATAATAGCATCTGCAGTATCATGGCTGTGGGGTTTTATATATTTGCTTCTCCCATCAGTGCTGAAAGATGCAAATTGCAGCTGTTGCCCCCCTCCAGCATGATCACCCTCTCCCTGTTTTGACAGATTTCTTGAAAGACTCATCTCAAAAGATGTATGGCTTTTTTTGTTCTGCCTTTAGTAATTTTCTACTTCTCAAACTCTTGCCCTTGCAGAGATGCTTGGGACTATCTCAATCTTCAGGCAACCTACTGTTCCAAGAATTACTTACAACCTGAGCACTGAAACGTAATGACTGTCATCCCTGGTCAGGTGAGAGGTAACAGTTTTTCATATCACTAAGGCTGGATTTCACCTACATTGACAAAAAGACCTTCCATGAGGACCACTAAAATCATTTCCACAGCATCAGCCATCATTTATAAGAGCCAAACTGAAAGATTCTTTGTATTGCCACAGTACCTTTATTGCTATAATCCTGTCCTACCCTTAAGGGGCAGCATCCTCATTTGCACATGGCTGGCTATTTGAAAGCCCAAAGGCAGGAAGAGGTCTTTGGTGATTCATACTGGCTTCCCACCTCGTGCAGTTTTCTATCGTTGGTGCTACTCAGAGGCATAGTCCCTACAGTGCATTAGGGCTATGCAGTAAACCTGCAGCGGATTGTGTTCACTTCCACAAAATTAACACAATCTTTAATTAATGAAATAAACACTGATGAGTAATAAATCATATTAAAATACAAAGAAGGCAATTTTTTAATAAATCAAGCATTGATTCACTCGATAAATATTAATCTACCAAGCATCAAGAATTCATTGTATTTTAGAAAACCATTTGAAAAATCTCACTGGTGAGCTGGTCTGAAGTGTGCAGAATGGTCCCTGTTCACCCATAATATACACTTACTTTTAACTAATTCCTTAATTTATCAAGTTAAACAACTTGCCTGAAAGTGAGTCTGGATTATTACTCCATTGCAATATGCGATTTTCTCGAGGGATTCAAACTCACTGCACAGATTGTTTCCTAATTTTTTCTTAGTAACTCCCTTTCTGAGTACCTCCTTTCTCTTCCTTGATGTTGGTGGTCTTTAAAATATTTGCTGACTCGTGTCATTTAATTTTCACCTCTATTAACTCAGTGAGAGTTGCAAAACTAGAAAAAAAAAAATGTAGGGGGGGATGTAAATTAACTCATTCATTTAAGTTTAGCTTATCTACGAGATGTTCTTTCACGCTTTGCTCTCTGCAGACTTCCTCCAACCTTTTATATAGATGTGGGATGTGCTGCACTTGCTGTGACTCTTATCTACAGATTAGCAAAAGAGAAGGAAAAAAAGCCAGATGCAAAGATGCCCCACGAGACTGATATGGAGCTGTTTCTGTAGCAACCGATGATTTTCTTCTCATGTAAGAATAAGCCTAGTCATATCTAATTCTGAATGTATCTGGGCCTCACTTGCCAGCCAAAGCTGTGTCAAGTATAAAGTCAATATAGTCAGAAAAATGATTAAAAAAAAAGAAATTATAAAGTCATCTTCCTACTCCTACACACCTCCTCCATCCAGGATCTGTAAGATATCCCTACCCCTGCCTTCCATCCCAGGACATCATCTCCAAGCCCCCAGCATCTAGCAGAGGTGGTAAGCAGAGCTGGAGGTGACAGCCAGTCACCCAGGCATCACACACAGGAGGCTGCTGTGCTGGAAGCTCTGTCAGCAGTCCCATGCACCCATGTCCCAGGAGACGTGTGCTCTGGCAGGGGTTCTCTAGGCTGCAAGGGCATCTATATCTGCCTTGCTCTGAGTCTCTATATAAAACTCCTAAGCCCAGAGCTGAGATCAACTTCAGGTTTAGAAAGCTCTTGTTGGGTTTGTGTCATTTCACTGTCTTCACTCTGTAGGCAGCATTTTCTGCAGCTATGAACCCAAAGGCAGGCTGCCCATCTCACTAACATCTCCTGCCATAGTCTACCCACACAAAGCTGGAATCGACTCTGAGACCAAAGGAGGACTTTGTCTTCCTAACTGTATTTTACCCAGCCTGGTCTCTGCTATTGATCCCTTA